AAGAGAGAATTTCCTTGTGATTACAATATTGCTATTGATATTATTTATATATATTATATATTGATACAATATTGATACTTAAATTTTGTGGTTGGTTCAGCGACCGTGAAGTAGAAGTGGTGTATGGGTAAATATTTTTTCTACTGCAAAGTTAAGTTTGTCTTTCAATCAGACTTAAATTTTTGTTAGAACAATGTGTTAAGTGCAAACTTTACTATTAATTCCCGGGATGGATGACTATCTGCATATATAATTATGTCTATAAGGATCCTTTACTGTATGTTTTCTACCCACACCTGTCGTAGTTATGAGTAAGGACGATTATATCCAGTACGATTTTTACTTGAAAAACTACATTTTTGTTTATTTTTAATCCTTAATAAATGTAATATACTTCGATCGAAAATTTGTAGTATATGATATGTTAACAAACGAGCACACAATTCACTCAATGGTTAGTGGATGATGTGAGCCATAGACGCCTACATCTGTCTTCGATTGTGAGTTAAAATGTAGATATACGTTGTCAACCACCCTAAAGACTAAGATAGAATGATAAAAAATAAAAATATAAATTTCTTCGCAACCTTCCGCTAAATAAATACAATGATGTGTCTTATTTGGATTGAAAAGCACCTCCCGCCAGTAAGGCCGTTCAATCCAGGTAAGACACATCATTATATTTATTTAGCGGAAGGTTGCGAAGAAATTTATATTTTTATTTTTATTATAATAAACTTCCGCAAAGTAACGCCTGATTCTATTAAGTATCTAAGATATAATGCCTTCTTACCATTAAAAGTCCCCGGTACACTACAATAACTGTATGAAACACGACAGCATCAAGCTGTTTATTTATGCTTGTACACTACGAAAGCTGACCCATTTGTGCCACAACCATAATATTATAGCTACAACATGACTCTACTTCGTTCATATCATAACTATATTCTCAACAAAGATTTAGAAATTATTTTCGTACATACGAGTATAGGTACCTATGTCATTCTTTCACTACCACCTATCAAAGTCCACCGGCACTTAAAAAGGGCTCCCCATATAATGCCTCATCCCTACAGCCTATCTAAAAACTTATCAAAGGTCTACTGCTGAACATACCCCGCCGTAACTTCTAACTTATAGGTCTAGTAGGGGAATATTTATATTAGTTGCCATACTTGACTGTCTTTTTAGTTTTTTTTTTTGTATAGAAAAGGGGTGGCAACGAGCATGCGGCTCACCTGATGGTAAGTGACTACCGCCACCTATTAACAACCGCAATACAAGGAGTAAGCTCTTTTCTTTAAAGTTCCTTAAGTCGTATCTGGTTGTATCGGTCTGCAAAATTCACCGATGGTAAACAATTCCACACAGAAGTTGTAAGAGGAAGGAAACTCCCAGTAAAATGCACATTGATGGACCACCAGATGGTGTGGACGGTATCGTGAATTTTGAAGCGATGTGCGTTCGTGAAATTTGACGGCTGTAATTAATCCCAAAAACTCCTCAGAGCACTCCCTGTAGTAAGATGCGATAGAAATCGTTAGTTCGATAGAAATAGATAGTTGTTGTACGTGCGAGCCATCGTACATTCAACTTTATTTTGCGCTCACGTTTGCAACTTACTTTCGGGGTGCATGTTTAATTAGTAATAATTTATTCATATTTAATTTAAAATCAGTACGTCAACAACCGTCATACTAAACACCAACTACCCAAGGAAAGATTTGCCACAATAAAATTCTAACTATTTTACCTTTAATAAACCTTTAAACTTTGGTGATCTTTTCCTTTTAATGTGTTCAACAACTAACTACAAATCTACTTCTTAAAAGTGTATGGCCCTACAAACCATAAATTTTATGGTCCTTTGAATAAAATTTCAAAAAAGAAATGTAATAGTGTGTGATCAGTGACAAATCTGCGGTAACGTATCAGTTGACTGGCCTCCCGGAAGAGGGAATTACCACAACACTTGAGAGGGTGCTTATATCGCAGAGGAATCCTATCACGTACTACACAACAACTAAGATGAACCAACATCCAGCTCTACATCTGACACCGTCAACTACGTTCCAGAACACCGAGCTACGAACCTCACATTGTCTTTTTCTAACTTTTTACTACAGCCAACTCACTACTTCAACTACAACATCATGATGCAACTTCAAAAACAGTGTTTTAATAACATCAAAACTCTCTGCTCTAACTACAAGGAAGATAGTCAAGACAACAAAAAATTAGGATTACTTGTTGAAACGACTAGCGTCTGTCGAGGCAGAGTGGAGCGACTTCAGTGAATGACACAACTACTAAGAAACTTATTAAGATAAAAACGTTAACTACTTCACCAAAAATATCTTCGAAAACACTTAACAACTTTACGAAACTACTAATAAAATTATGAAACATGTATTACAAAAACTACGTAAGTAAAAATCTGTGGAATTCGACTTAACCGATACGCTGAAGAGTAGCTCCGACAAAATTTCGTCTTCAAATTCGGTACTGGAGATAAAAATGTGCAAATTTAAAGCTCTCAACCGTGCTATGTCAAAAATTGACCTCAAAACTATCACCGAGAAGTGGGAGCTTCAAGATCATCTTTTCATAATAAAACTAAGTGGAAAGCCATTGACAAACTACATTGAGAATTAGAAGCTAAGTACAAAGGCTCTGACGTCAAATACTGCAAAATATTATGTAGAGATTGGAGAGAAGTACGACAAAATTCGAAGAATTTTAAATTTGAGAATCTAATCAACTATTCATTACGAAACATCTGTACCAAAAATGGATATTCCTGAATTTTATGGCAACTATACTCAATGGGTTTCATTCAAAAACCTCTTCATGGAAGCCATTCACAACAATCCAATGATAAATAACGCGTAAAAGATACAACATATCAATCTAAGCTGAGGGGTGAGGCTAAGCGCATAGTGCATCTCAGTATTAGTGCAGAGAACTATAACTCATGCTGGAATATACAAACGCAACGCTATGGAACTGTAACGAAGATCACGTGTTGACGCAATACCCAAAGTTCATTGACATGAACCCTACACACGCCCTACAAACACTGTTGAATAATTGCATTTGTGCGAAAATTGCTTATTTAGTCATGGCAACGACAAATGCATTCTACAAAAACGTGTAAAGAGTGTCATATGAGGCATCACACTATATTGCACAATTCTACAAAGAAATATTTACCTATAACTAAAACGACATTGAACAAAAACTACTTAAAACCACGACCATCAACTTCTTCACAAATATGTTCCAATCATATGTTCACTGATGATGTGGATAGGAGAAAATTTATTTTTGTATGAAAAATGGGCCCACCACAAATTTTAAGGATTCATGAAATGCAGGTCGATTTGTTCCTTATAATGTATAAATTACAATAGTACGTATTGTTAGTTTTACTGCATCTAAACGGAGTCCTAAGAAATTGACAATTAAAATATGAATCTAACAATAACCTAAAAACAAACTGAAAGCGGTTTTAAGTTAAAATTGTGTGGAGTTGGATAATAGTACATATAACACAAAGTTGTGTTGCGCGCCTAAGTTGACGTCAGGTACCTGGCACTAGCGCCATCTAGTGTCAGGGACCAGAGCGAGGAGGGTCCTAGAAATATCCTATCCTAAATAGGATCCTAAAAAATTACAATCTTGAACTTTCGAACAACAGCGCCATCTAGTATCGAACAGAAGAATTAAGCTTTCTTGAAGCCCCACACTCGAACTTTTTGCGTCTGATCGGTCGGCGCCCGTATTTACTGGAATATTTTTGATGTTTCGGTGTAAAAGGTGTACCTATATTAAGCCGTTGCCAGCCGCGTTCGGGGCAGTATTGAATTGGCGAGACAAGCGAAGCTTCGGAGCGAAATAAAGTGAATAATCAGTGTGATTAATTATTAGTGTCTTTTAAGTTTTAATTGGTGTTCGGTAATAAAAGTGTAGATTTTGGTAATTCAATCGGCAGTTTTATTGCCACCAACCTCAAGCTCGTAACACGGTACGGGCCGTCCCATTTAGATTGAAGCTTAGGAGAATTCCCTTTGCTGCGGACTGGATTGTGCAACCACACTAATGAACCTTCGTTGAACCCTTTGTTGTTCTTAAGGTAAAATCGGCATTATTTTTACCCACTTCTGACACCAATTGGTACGTCAATCTCACAACAATTCTTCCTCATGAAGTCTAGGCCCAGGATGCAGTCGTCCATTATATCAGCCACGATGACATTATGCAGATAGATCATGCTGCCTAGCTTCGACTCCATCTCCTTCTCTGCATGGACGGGTATATGCTACCGGTGGCTGTTACCAAATTAATGCGTTCTCGGTTGTATGCGGAGTCCCCAAGGAACTGACTTATAAGTTGGGAACTAACACGAGAGGCTCAAGAGGGATTCCTAAGATCGTACATGTGGATCGCCTGGCGCGTTATTATGGGGCCGATAATGCTCGGGATGAGCATTTCTTAAGAGGGGGCAGTTTTGCGCGCCTAAGTTGACGTCAAGTACCTGGCACTAGCGCCATCTAGTCTCCGGGACCAGAGCGAGGAGGGCGGCAGTTTTTATTGTCACAAAACCTAAGTTCGTAACAGTATATTCAACATTTATAGGTACATTAAAATTGATGTAAAATCTTTTGACTAGTTTTGACAAAATATATTGCCTGTCTGTGCATAAATGTCGTATGGATTCTATTTTTGACATACATTGATTGATCGTTATCGGGTTATCGGGTTATGTCGCCATAAAGTATCATAGAAAGTAATCCAAGAAACACTTGATATTAAACTTCAAGAAATTGACAGACGATTCATTCACTACAACAAAATGAAGCCTTACCCTTGTCAATTACGATTCACGACTTACATGATACCTGATCTGCTATATACTTCTTAGCGCTGCAATTCTTAGAATGACTGTATGAATCGCATGAAAGCTTTTCAACCGTTATTGCCATAAACACAAAGACATGACATCACATACAAATGAAGACTTGCAACTAGAAGATATGGAAAAACTCTCCACTGCGGTACGCGAACCTACAGCGCGGAGTCCAGCGCAGCCGCCCGCGCCGCAGCCGCGCGATCAGCGGTCACTAATACCTACTAAGGCGACTACAGCAAAAAACCACATTATTTTAATTTTAACGATTAACACAGTCGACTCTCGTTAATTCAAACCTGCGATCTACTATAATTCCTAAAAAACCTCTCTATAATTCAAAGTTATCACGAGTTCCTAACAAAATCTCTCTATATATCGAACTAAATCAAAACATTTTTATGCACTTGGTAATTCGAACAAAAAATCATTGCTACGTAACGAAACGAGGCATTAGTTCGAACTCATCGGCGTCAAACACTCGGCTATTCAAAGTTGCCGATAGAAAGAGACGGAAAGATTCTGACAGCTATTTTCCTGATTGACAAGGCATGGGAAGCTGTATGAGAATGATAAAATGAGAACACCCCTAAAGATTCTCAACTGCATCAAATAATCCAGTTTCATAAAAGAAGGTCAGGAAAATCTTCCAATAATTATAGACGATGAAGAGCCAACAATCGAACCACTAGATGACATCAGCGTTGTGTTTTGCTGACTTTGTTCAAGTAGATGAAGATGCTGCTGTCTCAGGTTTAGTAACCGATGGCAAAATTTCATCTGCGACAGATACGAATGAAAAAGTAACGATAAAGATGAGGACGATACTTCAAAATCTTTGACAGAGGTGTCAGTTAAGGAAGCAAAGGCCTCATTCGATACCTTACAAAGCTTTTGTATATAAAACGAAAGTAATGAAAAATAATTTCAGGCACTTTTTCTCTTAAAAAAATATTGAGCAGTCTGAGCAGCAGCAATGTGCTTTAAAGCAAACCAGTATAAGAGAGGTTTTTCGAAAGATTAATTAATTTATATTACGAATATGTACACGAATGTATCTCTTATCTTTTGTCATTGTTAAAGAATAGCAGTTAATAAATAATAATTGATCAACACTTAAAGTAAATAGAGGATCCTTGCACGGATGGGAGTCAAAGTCAAAGACGGCTCGCCCTCAAATATTTATTCCGAGGTTTTGTGTTTATACATGAGCAATTTGTGTATGTATAACGCCTTCATAATACAGGAGAAATTCCTAATATGAAGGTAAAGTTTCTAATTTATTTATCTTTTATCAAGAGTATCGTGTAGTGGCGGTTGAGAATATCCACTAGCCCATATCTTCCCGTGGGTGTCGTAAGAGGCGACAGAGGGAGACAGGCAGGAGATGGGCAGCAGCATCTTCCTAATAACAACAATAATATAATAAAAAAACTGCGGCTGCCAACCCGCTCCCCAAGCGTGGCAATTATGGCAAATATCCCCCCATGAGTAACGACACAAACAAACGGCCCCCAGTTCTCGGTGGCCCCGCTATTCCTGGCTATGGTGGCGACCATGATAACGGCGGGGCAGTGGGTGCTAATAATCTCCGGTCGAGGTTCAGTTGCCACCTACGAAGACTCAACCTGGCAACATATAACGCACGCACCCTGAGGACTGACGAGAAAATACTGGAGCTGGAAGAAGAGGTAGACAAGTTGCGCTGGCATATTATTGGATTATCCGAGGTCCGAAGATAGGGGGGAGGACACGGTAATCCTCGAGTCCGGCAACTTGTTCTATCACCGAGAGGGCGACCATCTGTCCCAAGGAGGTGTCGGATTTATCGTCCACAAGTCTCTCGTCAACAACGTTGTAAAGATTGAGAGTGTGTCGACGAGGGTCGCGTACCTGATACTCACAATCACCAAACGGTATTCGCTGAAGGTCATACAGGTTTACGCACCAACCTCGCCACTTCCCGATGATGAAGTGAAGGAAATGTATGAGGATATTTCCACAGCCATGCATTCCTCCAAAACCCACTACACGGTGTTGATGGGAGACTTCAACGCAAAACTAGGCAAAAGAGAAAGCGGTGAGCTGAAGTTAGGGAAGAGTTCGGTCCCGAAGATCTCAGACCTCGACACCTTGCGTTCGCTCTGTCGTAATTACGAGAACATTCAGGCTCGCCTAGTGGGATTCCACGAACCTCCGAAGGTCTCTTCAGGAACACTGGCGCCAGAGTTTGCTTACGCTGGTCAGTCTGCAAGTAGGTTTAATCAAGGCAGCGGCCAAAGTTTCAATAAAAGACCTTACAATAACTTTTACAATAGAAGCAACAATAATTACAATACAGGTAATAAAACTTATACTAAAAATAATAATTATGTGCATGCGGTGCAACAGCAGTACCAAAAGTCTCCTTATTGTCCTAGGTGTCGTAATAACACCCACAACCTTCGTCAATGCAAAGCAAATAGGGATAGAATATTTTGTTTTGTTTGTGGCCAGGAAGGCGTCAAGTCACCAGACTGTCCGAAGTGTGGCAAGGATAAACCGAGCACTTCAAAAAACTGATAGACCAGCAGAATTGTACTGAAGTCCTGCCACCCAAGTTTGACCAAGAGGATTGGCAGAGCTGGCTTAACACTGTTAATGTTTTCTTCAATTCTTATAAAGTTGATACAATTCTGCTGGACAAACCATTGCATGATCCTAGACCTTACGCTTGTGTACAAATCAATGATTTTAAGCTATTTGGCCTCTTAGATTCAGGCTCAGCTGTGTCCATTTTAGGTGATAAAGCTTATAGGAAGCTAGAGGAACGGGGTTTACAGCTGCATAGGGACAACTTAATTACATCACACAGTCACGGCTGCTGGCGATCAATCTATGACCAGCATTGGCTATATGTTTCTCCCTATAAACTTTGAGAATGAGTACCATATAATTAAGTCATTTGTTGTGCCAGACATCAATATTGATCTCGTGTTGGGGATCGATTTTTGGCGCGAGTTTAACATTTTTCCTAGACATTTCTCAAGCATTACATTTTCTAATGCCGCAGTATTGAATGCTAGCCTTAGTACCGATTCTACCACTTTCATACAAGCGTATGACCACTTAACTGTTTCGGAGAGATCAGTGGCGGATGACATCATTTCTCAATTTAGCGACATTTCCGCCGAACGTCGGGGTTTGGGCGAGACGAGTTTGGTCACTCACCGTATTGATACGGGAGATGCTGAGCCAGTTCGTCAAAGGTACTATAGGTTGTCTCCAGAGAAGCAGCGGATCCTTGCCGAGCAGGTCGACGAGATGCTGGCTCTGGACGTAATTGAGCAGTGCGAAAGTGCTTGGTCATCACCAGTTCTCATTGTTACGAAGAAAAACGGTCAGCCTCGGTTTTGCCTCGACAGCCGCAAGCTCAATTCCATCACGAAGCGCGACGCCTATAGTCTACCCTACATTTCCGAGATCTTGGATAATCTTCGCGATGCTCGCTACTTATCTAGTATCGATTTATCCAAAGCCTTTTGGCAGATACCTATAGCACAGGAGGACCGGGACAAGACTGCTTTTTATGTGCCTAATCGCGGTACCTATCGTTTTAAGCGCACTGCTTTTGGTTTAACTAACGCCCCGGCTACACAGCAAAGGTTGGTTGATCTGTTATTTAGGGAATTTGACCTCAAAGTCTTTGCATACCTAGACGACATTATTATCGTCTCAAACGACTTCAATTCCCATGTTTCCCTGTTACTTCGGGTTCTTAATAAGCTGAAACAGGCCAACCTCACTGTAAACCTAGAGAAATATCAATTCTTCCGCAGTCAGCTCAAATACCTGGGTTACGTCGTTGATAGTAGTGGTTTACGTACCGATCCTGAGAAGGTGGAAGCAATCCTCAATTACCCGACACCTACATGTCGTAAGGACGTTAAGCGCTTCCTCGGGACTGCTACTTGGTATCGTCGTTTCGTCCCCAATTTTAGTACCATTGCAGGCCCCTTAAACAAGTTAACTTCGAGTAAGAAGGGTGGACCACCTTTTGCCTGGTCTGCCGAAGATGATGCTGCCTTCAAGAAACTTAAGGAGTGTTTAGTTTCCGCTCCTGTTCTTTCCTGCCCTGACTACGATAAGCCATTCGAAGTACACACCGATGCCAGCAATTACGGCGTGGGTGCGATGCTGACGCAGACTATAGATGGTAAGGAGCACCCCGTTGCTTATATGAGCAAGTCGTTGTCAGCAGCAGAGAGGAACTACAGTATAACGGAGCGTGAGACATTAGCTGTCGTCATCGCCCTGGAGCACTGGAGGTGTTACTTGGAGAACGGTAGGCCATTCACTGTCTATACTGATCACAGTGCGTTAAAATGGTTTCTGTCTCTCAGGAACCCTACCGGTAGATTAGCTCGCTGGGGTGTAAGATTGTCCTAATTTCATTTAGAATTCAAGCATCGTAAGGGTGTGGACAATGTGATCCCCGATGCCCTCTCTAGAACTCTTCCCGTCTCGGCGATTAGTACTTCCGGTTCGAACATGGTGACATCGGATTCTCGGTACAAAAATATTTATAATTCTTGCCTTTCTAAGCCGCAAACTTTCCCGAATTTCATTATCAAGGATGGCAAGTTATTCAGGCGTGCCAAGAATAATCACTCACTTTCATCCGAGTTCTTATGGAAGGAGGTTGTACCTTTTGAGCTACGCGAGCAGGTGATCAACGAGAATCATGCGGAACCCACGGCTGGACATCTTGGCGTTTTTAAAACATACCATCGTATTGCCTTGCGCTACTTTTGGCCTGGTATGCACCAGGACGTGGTGAAGTTCGTTGCCTCCTGCGAGAAGTGCTTGTCTTACAAGGCTCAAAATCACCAAACCTTGGGAGCAATGGGCCGCCCGAAGCAGTGTTCTAGGCCATTTCAAATGATTTCAATTGATTTGATGGGCCCCTTGCCTGTCACTAGGAAGCAGAACACTTATATCTTCGTAGTCACATGCTGCTTCTCGAAATATTGCCTAATTTTCCCATTAAGAAGTGCTACTGCCACTACAGTCACGAAGTTACTGGAAGAGTCTGTTTTCCTCGTCCATGGTGTCCCTCAGACCATATTTTTGGACAATGGCGGCCAGTTTATTTCGAAGGTCACTGAGTCACTTTTCCATCGTTATAAGGTCCCTAACGTGTTCTTCACGCCAAAGTACACCCCTCAAATTAATTTGGTAGAACGACATAATCGTTCAATTATCACGTGTATCTCAACTTTCGTGGACAACGATCATCGCAGTTGGGATACA